GTATGGAGTGCCCAGCAACAAGCTGCAGAAACTGCGTAAGGGGACAGTGAATTACTTTGAGCCTGGTGGGCCCATGGCACTTCAGGCCATCAGAGCAGAGATGCAACATAGAGATGGACTCATGATCGAGGGGTGGACTTAGCAATGGACACTATTGCCCAGGTTATTCACGAGTGTGAACACTGCACACAGTCTCTCCTGCTCTGGAAGACTGTTACAAGAGATGGAGCCTGACATGGACCAGATGGACGCAGCAGCTTTATAGGGACTGGTCCATTCACTAAGTTAAGAGTGCACCGAGATAAGAGTGATGGTATATTAAAAATGTGGGATCTGAGCATGACGTGAATGGTATGGAATAAGGGGTGGATAATGTCCTGGGTTCAGCAGTAGCAGTCATTTTTCTCCTTCTTGGTAGCTGGTGCAGTGCAGTGTTTTGACTTTCAGCTCGGGAACAGAGCTGATAACAAGGATGTTTTGGTTTGGCCAAGGACTTTGTGAGCCTCATGCTCTGCCAGGGAGGAGGGGAAGCCAGGGGAAGCAGAGACAGGACACCTGACCCAAACTGACCAAAGAGGTATTCCATACCACAGCACGTCATGCCCAGGATGTAACGGGGAGTTAGCCGGAAGGTCTGGGAGACGGCAGGGTTGGAGGAGGTATCGGTCAGAGCTTGGTCGGGCTGGGGGGGGGCGAGTTATCGGTCGGCTGGTGGTGAGGTGATGTATTCTCTTCCCTTGTTATTTCCTTTATCATTATTATCATTGGTGGTAGCAGTAGTGATTTGTGTTATACCTTAGTTACTAAACTGTTCTTATCTCAACCCGTGGGAGTTGCATTCTTTTCGATTCTCCTCTCCATCCCTCCGGGAGCAGGGGGAGGGCAAGAAAGGGGGGGAAGTGAGCGAACGAATTACCTGACTGGGTTTAAACCACGACAACTTGGCATGGTTAAACTTCATGAGGTTGGCATCAGCCCACCTCACAAGCGTGTCAAGGTCCCTCTGGATGGCATTCCTTCCCTCCAGGGTATAACAGCAAGCAAAGGATGGACTACAGAGTTAATTTTGTTTGCTTGGTTTTTTTTTTTCATTTTGTTTTTGTTGTTGGTTTTTGGTTTGTATTTTTTTAACAGAAAGCCATCTCAGTAATGAACCATTTCTTATTTTCCCTCATCACTCCCTGTAACCGTCAGTTCTACACAATTTTTTTCAAATATAAACTTGCTTCACTATAACAGTTATTGTTTTTCAGCCTTCTATGGATTCTAACAGGGAGGTAATTTCTCAGGCAGGAAGTAATCTTCAAAGATTTCAGAAACACACAGCAGTTGATTCTAAGCCTGGACTTCAGGTTGTCATCATTTTAATTAGTGGAAAGTTTATGGTAGGCATTTTAAAGAGATGCTCATGCTTTCCTCAGTCTTGCTCAACTGGATGCTGGTTAACTCAGGAACCAACAGACATATGTGAGACAATTTTTTCACAGACAAAAATTTGTCTGGAATGCAACAATACCAGTCATTTTAGAAGAGATTCACCTGGCTTAAGATCTAGATACCTGGAGTTTTGCCTCTTGACTCGACTTCCAAGAGTCAAGTTTCCACAGACTTTCACTATTAAACTTCACTTTAAAAGTGTCACAGACTCAGTGATGAAGTAAGTACCATTAAAGAGTAACTCAAAATTGCTGGAGCAGAAGAGTGATAATGGTAAACAGTTATTTCCAGGTAAAATTTTAACCACAAGCAATTCTAATTTACAGTGCACTCACATGAGATACTAGATTATTTTAGACAGAAATATAGAGAACCAGTCAAATTCTGTATCAGGTCTCTCGAGAGCCCAACTGCAAAATCTAAATGACATTCCTAACTTCTGCAAACTAAGGTGTCCTGGGTTCAGCAGTAGCAGTCATGTTTTTCCTTTGTAGTAGCTGGTGCAGTGCTGTGTTTTGACTTCGAGCCTGGGAACAGTGCTGGTGATACTGATGTTTTCGGTTGTTGCTAAGTGATGTTTACCCTGACCAAGGACTCTGTGAGGCTCATGCTCTCATGCCAGGGAGGAGGGGAAGCTGTGAGGAAGCAGAGACAGGGCGCCTGACCCGGGCTAGCCAGGGAGGTATTCCATACCACAGCACGTCATGCCTGGGGTGGGGGGTAACTTGGAGTTACCCGGAAGGACACGGGCTTCTGCATGAGACTCGTTTCTTGGCCGGTGGTATCGTATTCTCTTCCCTTGTTATTTTCCCTTATCATTGTTGTCGTTGGTGGTAGCGGTGGTGGTTTGTGTTGTACATTGTTTGCTGGACTGTTCTTGTCTCAACCCGTAGGAGTTGCACCCTTTCGATCCTCCTCCCCGTTCCTCCGGGAGCGGGGAAGGGGAGAGCCCCGGTGGGGGGGGGGGGGGGGGGCCTTGATTGTTGTCAGCCCGGCACCACTCACTGGGACCGAGTGAAGAAGTTGCCTGACTGGGTTTAAACCACGACATAAGGTTTTATCAAACATTTCAGAATGATCCTATATGAAGATGTCAGTCAGGGGTTGACAGATTTAATTCCATAGTCTTAGCTTCATTAGACAAAACAGGGTTTTTGATGCAGAATCTTTTTTTCTTGTTTCCTTTTATCAAATATAAGCATATAACAAATGTTACAGCTTAAATCCCTTTAGCTCGTTTATCATTTACTTTGCCTTCTGGATTCCTTCTTTTGGCATCAATATTTGATGCAGTATAGGCATACTTTAAAAGTAAGAGAATAAAAGATATTCTAGTGTCCTGGGTTCAGCAGTAGCATTTTTCTCCTCAGTAGCTGGTGCAGTGCTGCATTTTTGACTTGCAGCCTAGGAACAGTGCTGATAACATTGATGTTTTTAGTTGTTGTTAAGTCATGTTTAGTCTGACCAAGGACTTTCTGAGTCTCATGCTCTGTCAGGGAGGAGGGGAAGCCGGGAGGAAGCTGAGACAGGACACCTGACCCAAACTGACCAAAGAGGTATGCCGCACCACAGCACGTCAAGCCCAGGACGTAGAACTGGCGGCAGTTACCCGGAAGGGCTAGATCACTGCTCGGTTGGGCTGGGTATCGGTCGGCAGGTGGCGAGCAGTTGCATTCTCTTCCCTTGTTATTTCCGTTATCATTATTATTATTGGTGGTAGCAGCAGTGGTTTGTGTTATACCTTAGTTACTGGACTGTTTCTTATCTCAGCCTGTGGGAGTTACATTCTTTCGATTCTCTCCCCCATCCCTCTGGGAGCAGGAGGGAGGAAGTGGGGGAGCGAGAGAGAGAGTGAGTGGCTGAGCTTAAACCATGACATCTAGGTAAGGAACACTAACTGAAATACTGAGAGGATCAGCAAACTGAACATTTCTTTGAGGACAGAAATATTGATTTCCAAATTCATGCTGAGATTAAATTGCTGAAGAGTCTAGTCCTCTGCAAAATTCTGTAGATCCCAATTCTATCAACAGAAGGAAAGAAAATGGAAATAATTCACAAATATTTGTGTGACAGAGTGAGGAGGTTAATTCTGAGGAAAGGAATAGTAAAAGGAAGATGTAACATGCAAAATTTTAGTAAATTAATCTCAAGCAAAATAAAATGAGAAAAAGTGGTATTCATTGCAAGACTCCCACATATAGAGAGACTGGTAACATACTCACTAGAGAGCATCCCACAGAACACCATATTTTGGTCTGTGTGTTATACAGGCATTAGGAAAGGAATACTGACAAACTTAGGAGTAATACAAATCCAGGGGATCCAATGCCACAAACAAGTTCCTGGAGGCCAGCCTTCAGAAACTTTAAATATCAGTTCAACAACTGTTAACAAACAGTACTTGGAAGAAGCCTTGGCAGGTAACATAACACTGACTGGAGTTCCAGGTGGAAAAAAACAAACTTTAAGTTTTCTCATCTAGTGAAGTAACCCAAAGGGCTTAATTATAAACACAAAGGATTAAACTATATTATGTTACACTGACACTATGGAAAATCTAACAAAATAATAACAACTCAAGCCTTCACCTATTTGTGCACAGTCAGATAGTACAACCGCGAAGAGTTTGTGGCCACAGTGTCTTGACTCTTCAAGCAATTGCTAAGAATCTAATTCAGCAGCATCTAAGAAACGAAACTAACCCTGAACTGATGAGTTAATTCAAGAACTGACAATAGATCAACTGAATAATAATGTCCTTGACATAATCAATTTTCATTTTTAAGGACACTGACCCAAATGAGTTTGTACAGAAACATTTAAAGTTTTCTATACATGATCTATGTCATTATACATAAATAAGCAAACATTTTTGTTTATCTATAAGAGGTGTCATAATTAGACAGAAAATTATGCCAATGACACCTTTTTATATATGTTCCTGAATAAGAAATCTTTAACAGTGAGTGAAATAATGTGAATAGGTAGTATAGTACTAAATTCAATTAATACTAAGAAATCAACACAGTGAATAGTAAATAGAGACATCTATATTATGCCTATGTATACAACAAGGATGATAAATTATGTAGAGGGCTGCATGGTATTAACCAATGAGTTAATATATTATTACCTGAATTCAATAACTTTTGGCTTTACTGACCACCAATTTTCCCTTTTACGCATTTATCAAATTAGCATTGTTTTATTCTAGATTGTTCACTGTAAAACCAGTAAAGTAAGGGGAACTCTAGAAAAAGGAAAATATTTAATCACTAGCAACAGATACAAAATACCACCCTAACACTCATATTCAAGACGACTGATGGAATATTCATTTCCCCCACCCACATTAAAAGCAACAAGGTATTTCTAAAGAATAGTTAAAATATTAGCAAATTATAAACTAGCTTATAATTTTATAATTTTATAAGATAGCTTATAATTTTAGCTTTATAGATAAATTATTCGCTAATGATGCTGTTGTTTGAACTATATTCAAGTATGTCATGCTTTGTTTAAAAAAAAACCTTAAAACTTAAAAATTCTTAAATTCTTACCACAGCTTTGGTTGAACTTTCCTGTAAATCCCACAATAATATGTTATTATCAGCCAGCGAAATCACCTTTTTACCGTCTCCCATTGGTTCCCACATAACACTGTAAAACAGAAAGACAAAACAAAGGAAAACACCCTAACATTAAAACCAATCAGAATTTGCACTAGAAAGCCATTTTAATGCTGTGGATCTAATCTACTCCAAAGTATATTAAAATATTAAACAGCATTTCTTCAGCTGAAATCTGACCCATATTTTAAGTACAAAATCTGTTATTAGCTAGCAATCTAGCAATTTTTACACATTCTAGATGAACATTACTGCAGCATCAGTTACTTAAAAGGTATGTGATACCAAATTTACACTTGCTTATCAAACCTTTTAGTCAGTGCTAATGTACACATCATTTCATTTTGAGTACCCTCTGACATCCTGTCCAAAACCATCAGGAAAAAAAAGTAATGCTATCAGGTTCTCTAGATGATCTAATGGTAAAAAGATGGTTTCTTGAAATCCTTACTCCATCTGTTGTCCATTCTACATACTGAATCAGTGATTATGCAAAACAAACAGAGATTATGTCATTGTAGGGGGTTGGAACTAGATGATCTTCAGGTACTTTCCAATCCTAACTATTCTGTGATTCTATGCCTGTAGCAATCATTCTGCATACAAACGCAGCAAGAAATGGACCTTGCCTACATTCACTTTCAAGTGCTTTAGCTTGAAGCCTCAAAGTTCTTCATATGTAATGTTGTGCATTCTTTTTGAAGATGCACCAAAAATCATAAGCCTCATAGCTTTGATGCAACCCTCTTCCAGTTCAGCAGCTGTCATCATGACTCAGTCAACATACACATTTTACCTGTGATTCACCAGTTTTGTGCTACACATGAAGGAATGCAAGAAATAAGTCCTCATCCTCTAGTTCTACCTATGTGAAGCAGCATATTCAAGCCAGTCAGTATGGGCAGCACAGCAAAATATATGCACTATAACACTAATAAATTCACTGAAGATAACAGTAAGGTTAAAAGAAGACTCCTTGTAATTTGATGAAAATAGCCTTCCATACCCAACACTTCTAAAAGTAAGTTGTGCAACCTCCTAACCATCTTATATTGAGTGCCACAACAAATCTGAGGGCAGAAGATCACAACTTTAGTATCAATAGCTACATGGAGAAACTTCTTCCCATCTCCAGACAAAAACTTAAGCTATTCAAAGGCATTCGACATGTTGTTGTCATCCTCAGTACACATATGAAGTACCATCCCTTGAGGTTTGTCAAGAGCCCATCACTAGATGCAAGTTCTCTAGTCTGTTTAACTTTTTGTACGAATCAATTCAGTATCTGAACTGAGGAGATGAAAGGAAGTTGCATGAATAGATGCAGCCTTGGACAAGTGAGTCCCGTGTTAGGCAGCTGCTAGCTACCTTCCTAACTTTGTGCTGCGCAGTATGTCTGCTTCTGTTTTATCCCAGATTTTGCATTACTACTACCCTCCCCTAAGACAGGTTCTTCCGTGAACAGTTTAATTGCTTTTTAACCTGCACTTTCAGGAAAACAAGCATTAGATATACAGGCAAAAGACTGCACCTGTTTGCTGCCACAGAGAAGCAAGAGCATGCAGAGAAAACAGAACTATGCTAAAAATAATTAAAGCCAAGTAGATGAAGCAGCTTGAACTATACCTAAAAGGGTGTGTTGGCTGACCCCTCACCCATCAAACTTTTCCCTAGTATAACAGAGCAGACCAAACAAAGGATTAGCTTTTGCATCTCTCTTCTGCTGGAACCATTACCTACATCTTTATTATGTTGTCAATCCATGGAAATGAACTACTTATAAAAGTTAATTTGTAATGAGCTCTCCTGAATTAGGACAAAATCACTTCATTTAGCCCACTAAGCTACCACCACATTTTTAAATGTGTTTTAACAAGGGCATGGAACTAGAATGATTCTATGATTTGCTTCAAACTGGGCTGATTTGTCTGTAGTATTGCCCACCTTGATTTTAAAAGTGTTCCTTGTTAAAGTTGTATGGCACAACTTGGAGAAAAGAATTCATCAACTAGATCCTTCAAAGACACGAAAACATTTTATGAACACATGTAACAGGATAAAAAAATTAACGTATTATAACCTGTATGTGATCACAGCTAACTTTCCACAATCCAGTTTTCCAAAGCAAAATTCAAATACTTCAGGGCCACCACACAACTGAATGGGAAACTAACAAATTTTTAAGTTGATTTAAGTCCATCATTTTTCTTACATGTTGCTGAAAATATAAGTGGTATTTGGTGTGATTTATGAGATAGATTTTTAATTATAGACAATGAAATCTGGTTTGACCAATTAACTCTTAAGAGTTCTTCCAGTCAGAGTTCAATACTCTTTATGCCTGTTGATGTATTTTCATGTCTTCTGCACTGATCACTGAATTTCCAGTTGTAAAATCTAGATTGGAAGCACTTTCTTTGATGTTTTCAAAGGTAGGAAGCAATTTCACATCTTTAAGTGTCACTGAGCTTCAAGGTAAAGAATTATTATAGCTGAATACAGTGTGCTAATCAGAGCCAATTATAAGCCAGCTGATATACGTTGCAAGGAAAAGGTCTCTCCACATTCCCTCTGTCCTTCTGAGATGCCTGCTTTTCTTCTGTTTGTCTTTTATGAAAGCTCATTGTTTTACAGGCATGGGTGATCATTCAGATTTTACAATCTAAGTGGAGGCTATTCAAATCACTTTTCGTAACACATTCTGCTGCATTTTGTAGCTATGACTGAATGTTAAACATGAAATATCATGAAGAAGAGGAAAAGAAGCCCACAGAACACTGGTGAGTGAAAAAAAAACTGGCCTTCAAAGCAAGATATGAATTTTAGAAAAGCTGAAGTTTTCATTTAGAACAACTTTCAACACAGCAGAGGTGGTGATAATCTTCAAAAAAAGGAAAACAGATAAACCAGGCAATACCATTTTCCTGAGTGTGCCAACAATTGCTGATGCTTACAGTTTGTGGAAATGGACAAGATAATTGTCAAATTCACAGCTGCCACTCAGAAACTGAGTGTCAACTTCATGGCTGCTCTTCAGATAATCTACAAACACCAGACATAATCTACAAACAGCAGACAAGCAATTATATTTGTTGCCTTTTACCCTATTTTGTTATCATCTGACTCCTGATACTTCAAATTAGCTTCTAGCTAGTAGCTCTTGGTAAAAAAATGCTACAAAGAATGTTTTCTTAATAAAGAAAAAAAAAGAATTTAAAATATTCACTCAAATGTGCACATGAAAGGACTATTATCCATGTTTTATGTGAAAAGATAGTTAACACCATCATTTATTAACGTACTGAGCTTTTACAAATGAACAATTCAAAGCTCTCTATTATAGACTAAAGAAGAATAAAGCAACATGCAAACACTTTCATAGATGTGAACTGCAGTCAGCCAGAAATTGTTGGACAAAGCAAACATTAACTACCGCTTAACCATAATTACAGAAGTGACAACCATTTATTTCTAGAAGTGCAAAAATTCTGCTAGACTGAAAACTGTCATGCACTGCAAAATGGAAAATACACCCAAACGGTTGGTAACCCAGCAGAACATCCTGCAGCCTCAATGCAGCCCATCACAAAAATTCATCTGTTATAGACTCAAATATTCTGCCTTCTTTGCAGCACAATGATTCAAATGCAAAGGCGACTCTGCTAATCATACGATTAGAACATGTATTCTAAGAGGAAGGCGATTAGACTGAGGACAACCTGGAACACACAATTCTTACCCCTTGCCACAAATACTCTACAGAGGAGCCACATTTCTGAATAAAAATAGTTCTGGCTATTTTGCAGTGCATTGAAGTCCATGCTGCAGGCAGCACTTGTAAATTATGCTTTATCTCAAAATTCTCAGCCACTGAGATATAATCTGGTGTCCAACTTCTCAAGACACAGTAAAACAAAAAACTACAGCTTCCTTAAAAAACCTGAAAGACAAGGTGAAATTTTTTTAGGTGCCTTTTTAGTTAAGAGGCTGCTAAGAAGAATGAGAAATGAAGTTAAAGATTATTTTGGACAAGAACCCCAAAGACAGATGGGCTTTATTCTGACCTTTAAATTATTTTTACACTCAGAAATACAAAGAGTATCCAAAAAGGAGGCAACTCAGAATAAGAACTTGTCTCTAAATTTTTTTTTTCCCTAAATTGTCATACTACAGTCTTAGCAACCCCCCAAAGTCTTTTTGAAAAAAAAAAATCATACAGCAGAATGCAAAATATTAAAGGATAATCCTTAATATTTGTATTTACTTCACTTAATCTCCTTGCCTACTACAGTTGCAATTAAACACATTTATAGTGAGAAAAGGAATTGTGATCCTTGCTTTACAAGGCCAAATAAATGTCAGCATTGAAAAGGTATTTATGAACACGTAAACATTATATAGACAGCCTGAATCACAGAAATTCACAATCTAAAAGAAAGCATGGTAGTGCATTCGTTACAAGAAAGCAAATATAGGAGTTACTGATTTTAAGTAGGAGCTCCTAAATATCCATTCTGTAGAAACAACTATTAAATTCCTGTTGAGCTATTCATGATTTAAAGTGGTGATCAACAGGTGAACACCTCCGTTGTTCGTAACAATCTCAGACTTCCGGCTGGCTGGCCATGGCTTTACAGAATAACGCTTAAAACAGGAAAGCAAAATCATACAAATATATTATACAGACTCAACATATGAGCTGAACTGAGATAAACTGTCACTGTAACATTTCAAGTCACAAAACACTATAAATGGGAATTAACATCTCTAGTCTGCAATATAACCAAGTTACCTACATTCTGTACATACTTGAAGCACAGTAAGAGTAATTACTGGTGGATGCAAAGCACAACCTATGCAATCAAATAGGTGAAACACTAAACAGCAAGACCTGCTTTACAGAAAGCAAGCTGTAACTAACCATTTTCAGACTTAAGGCATCAGTCAGCCATTTTTCTGTGTTTATTTTTGAAGCAATAAAATATCCAAGTTCTATACATGGACAGTTCTTGTAAAGTGCGCAGCAAAAGC